CATCTATGGCCATTGCACTGTTAGGGAGGAGGACTCAACAGGGAACAATGGATACTGCCGGCACTTCCTTACCAGGCGAGTCTCGCCTATGCCCTTACTCCGACAGTGCCTCCCTGTAAGTCCCTGGTGCCCCCTGTGCTCAGCCCTGCTCAGAGCAAGCAGATCTGTCGCGGCGAAAATCCACTCACGGACACGGCCCCTTTAAGAAAAGTCTGCCGCTGCCACGTCCTCTGTCTCAGCCCCTTGGACTCAGCAGCCCCGTGTCCTCAACCCGTCTTACTTTCTGCCGTTGGCAGAGTGCTTTCTTGGATTTCTTCGTAGTTGTATGGCTTGTTCATCTAGATCCCAGGTGATTTTTCCTTGCTGCTGCTCCTTATTTCTGTCACAACTTTGATTTGGTTGCCAGAGAGATGAACAGAGCCTCTATCCTCCACGCCATTTTTTTCTCTCTCCTCTAAAAGATACTCATTAATCTTTTAAATAAGTTCCAATATCATAGAATTGAAAAAATTTAATGAGATTCTTCTTGATGAAAGTGGAAAAGATAATACATGAAAAGCTATTTTAAAGAGAAATAATATAAAATCATAATATAAAAAACAAAATTCAGAAAGGTCATGCAAAAAAAAAAAGTGAAGCCATTTTTCCTTGACTCAATTGCCTCTCTACTTGTTTTTCTTAATCTTTCCTCTTTTTTTTTTTTTTTTTTTTTTATTCAATTAGTTTTTTAATGACATAGTTGAACCCAGATTTGGCAGAAGTTTTCTGTAAAGGGCCAGCATTTTGGGCTTTACAGGTCACAAAGTGTCTGTCACATAGTCTTCTTTGTCATTTTTTTTTTTTGAAACAATTCTTTAATATAAAACCATCCTTAGCTGTAAGCCTGACAAAAACAGGTAGTAGGACAGATTTGGCCCACAGACTGTAGTTTTGTCAACCCGTTTTAAGCAAATAGAAAAGTATGGTGAACGATAGAAAGCACTCTTATTACCTACTACTTAGCTTTGTCAAATCTTAACATTTTGCTGTATTTGCATCAGATCTTTGTTTTATTTAATATTTTTATTATATCGTTTCAAAAATTAATCTCAGATACAGTTGAAGTCCTGTCCCTAGGGCTCCCCTGCCTAGTATCCTCTGCCCCTTTCAGAACTAACCAATGCCCTGAAGTTGGTGTTTATTTCCTCCTGAAAGTTTCTGTACAATCTTATTCATCATTTTTTTTTTCTTATATAGAGAACAGAAAATAGTAGGAAATAAAATTGGAGAGATAGGTTGAGGTCAACTTATGAATGACCTTGTATGCTATTCAAGAG